TTTCAAAGGATTTTTGTGCGTATGAAAATTATTTCATTAATTTTCATACGCTTCTCATACGTTTCTCTCATACGCAATAGTGTGAGAGGGCCTTCAGGTAAGCAAAACATTTTTTGCAAAATAATTTTTTATAAAGTTTATCTCCGTTTTTCTCCACCTTAGCTAGTTTCTTTGAAACACGTGTGTTCATTTAAAACCAATTTCCGGCGCAAAATTGCCCAATTTCCGGGGTAAATATTTACGTTTTTTGCAACAAAGGTCACGATCATTTCACCGTCATTCTTGATCTGTTTTAAAAACAATTTTACATCGCAATTTACTTTACAAAAATGGCAATATTTTTATTACAACAATTTAAATATAAAAGGAAATCTTAGTTTGTGCGATACAGATGAAATATTTCATGGATTTGTTGGTTTATTTTCGTTGTTTTTTATACAGACGTCGTCAACAAGAATAATTTGAAGCCGAAGGGCGAAGGGCCATGGCTAAACAACATGCCTGGTTTCACATGATACCCATAATAATAATATCTGTTTATTTGCCTTTTACACAACATTTCTAATATCTTTTTTTAAATGTGTAGGGAATGAGAGCGGATGCCTTCTTTTAGACGATATTCCTGGCAGTAACTTAGATTTGTCTCGCCTGACTTCGTATCGTGTGGATCAATTAAAATTTTGGCTTTCTTGTCGTGGAGATTCATTAAAAAATCTACATACCAAAGCTGCCTGTGTTCAAAGGTACATGGTAATATATAAATTAGAGTTTTGCTTAGTCTATATGTTTATTCAAGAAGCACAACATCTATAAAATATGTTTTCTTATCTGTAGAATCAATAACTATGTTAGAAATGGTCAGCAAGATAACCTGGTTGATCCTACTGCTAATCAAATATATGTGCAGGGAAAGGAATTGCAACAGGAGAAAGCCCAAAACACAAATACTGTCACAAATTCAAATTTGTGTCTGAAAGGTAAAATTGTCATTGTCTAATTGTCATTGCCTATAAATTGTCATTGTCATTGTCATTACATGTAATATTGCATTGCATTGCATTGCATTACATTGCATGTGCATTGTACTGTACTGTGTTGTATATGTGTATAGGTAACCAATATCATATGAGTGAAAAGGTAATATCAGTTTTAATGCTTGATTATGTGATAATATATCCTCTCTGGCAGTCGCTGCCTATATGTTATGATATGATTGTGCCAAAATTAAATTCTACTGTTTTTCTATTAATTTAGGTAATTATTGGAAAAGTACTAATTTGGAATGGTCGAAACCTCTTCTGGACCTCCCAACATTGACCATCAAGGAAATTGAACAATTCTTTGAAGAATCAGGCAAAACTGGGAAGCCCCAAAAAAGAGCGGACAATCTTCTCTACGAAAATTTCTTGGATAGTGTTTCATGCTCGCATGACACCAACCACTCTTATGTTAGAGCAATCTGCTGTGCTTCCTACACTAAGAGCCAGTACCATCAACTAAGTTGCGCATTGTCAAAAAAAAAGTGGACAAATTTTATATGCACACTGTACATGTAAAGCCGGACAAGGAGGCTTTTGTAATCACGTTTACGCCCTCCTCAAGTTAATAGCACAAACTCGACAAATTAGACGAAATTCCATTGCAGCTTCCATGCTCATCAAGACCCTGTGGTTGGACAGTCCCAAAGGTGAGAAATATGAATGTACAGAAAGAGACCGTGATGGAGACTATAATTAAGAAACCTAAATTGGGAAAAAATACTGGGGTAAAATGCAACCTTTATGAGGCAAGATCTTCTGAGCAACAAACATTTGATGCAAATGCAATTTTTGAAATGAAAAAAAAAATCTAAAAAAAGATAATCTAATCCAAAGATTCGATGGTGGATGGTGTGCGAAGTTCGGTTTCATCTGATGCATGGTGTGAGACGAAATTTGGAAAAGTACCCATATTCTCTCCTCTTGCTTATCAATGTAGTAAGCTGGGGCCAGTTGTACGAAAGGTGGATAAGTTATCCAGTGGATAAGTCCTATCCAATGGATAAATCTCCTATCCAATGGATAGCTATCTGCCGAATAAAAATGCGTTGTACGAAGCACGGATAGCAGGGTGGATAGCTATCCGTCGGATAACCTTAATTTTAACCGGAGAAAACTGGATTTTCCTGAAATTTCTTATCTCTACGTCAACTGTTGCTAGGTATTTGTAAACTTTTGTTGTAGTATCTTCGTATAACTTGTGAATTCCACTAACCTTTGAACTATCAACTTGCAATAAAGTTTTTTTGTTCATGTTTATATTTTGGAGTTTTTCTCGTCCAATCGTTGCAATACTTCGTTTTCCCACAGTGAAGAGTTTGCTATCTACTTATCGATATTTCTTTAAAAGATTTTTGGCTTCTTTATGCGAAGGCAATAGCAAAGACTGCGAGTTTTGTTTTCTTGTTTCAGGACGTTAATTCAGTTTTATTTTATATACTGTCCGAATATTTGTTCTTTGACCTTTCACGTCATTCAAAACAATTTTAATTAAGAACATTTTCTCGCAAGATTTGATTGGCTGATCAAAGCCAGCGAACAAAATTTTTCGACTTTCGGTGCCTTGTTGTCTATTTAATATATGCAGCTATATTTGTTTGGCGTTGAAAGGAACTAATTTAATGAAAGTTTTATTGCGTGTTTTCGAGCTATATAACAGAAAAAAAAGAAGGAAAAAAAACAGAAAACGTAACGTCTAAGCACTGACACAGGTCTGCATAAAACATGGCAAAGTCATGGCATTATTTAATGAGCAAGTGACTCAAAGTGAACTCGGTACGTCAAGAGCAAGAGAAGTCGTAAGTAAGTTTCCATGTTTATTTAGTGTCGAAAAAGGGACTTCTAAACGGTATTTGTCGATTTCTATCACAATAGCAATCCTTTTTAAATGAAATACATATTGTTTTGTCTTCAAACTTTGAGTTTATCCGCCGGATAGTGGATTTAAACTACCTCCGGACCTCGGATAAATTTATCCAACGGATAGTGCATTTTATCCGTTGGATAGCGCTATCCGAGCTTCGTACAACGCGATTTTCACTCCGGATAAAATTTATCCGCTGGATAGCGACTTATCCACCGGATAGCGATTTATCCACCTTTCGTACAACCGGCCCCTGGGCAATAACTTTAATGTGTATATAAATATTGACAAATGCCCTTCAAATCCAGCCACTACTCCTACTACTTACCCAAACTTTCCATACCGTAATATCCCCCAGTACTATCACCATGACCTTTCAACTCTTGCTTCTTCTCAAAAAGCAGTTTTTGATAAACTTCAAGTGACAAATGAACAGGCAGTTATACTGGAGCAGACTACACAGTTACAGTCACAAAGTTCACTTTGGTTTAAAGAAAGGAAATGCAGCGTCACAGCCTCAAAAGTTTATGATGTGTTTCATTGGTAGAGGGGAATGGACAAGCATGCGGAAAAATTTGTTAATAGTGATGTGTTGAAAGTACCTGAAATTTTGCAAAAGAAATTTGATCATGGAAAGATCTACGAGCCTGTGGCTTTGGAAAAATACCGGGTGTGTATGAGAGAAGAGATGGATCCTAGCACCGAAGTATATCCTTGTGGCTTGGTATTAAATAGAAATAATTGTTGGTTAGGCAGCAGTCCAGATGGCAAAGTTGTGTCAGGAGATATGTTTGGTATAGCAGAATGCAAGTGCCCAGAGCAGTACAAACATTCAGATGTCTTTGATGTTGCATGTAGCAACGAGTCCTCAAATTTCACGCTGCATGTTGAAAACAGTAAGCTGCAGCTACGAAAGACCCACCCAACATAGTACCAAATACAATGTCAGTTAGCTTTGACTGGATCAGAATTTTGTGATTTGATTGTTTATACTTTTCAAAGTATTGCTATTATAAGAATTACTTTTGATACACAATTTTGTTCAAATATAACAGATGTGGTAGGTCCTAGGTATTTTCAATATATATTACCAAAATTGCAATAGAACTAATTGATAATGGCAGATCAAGGAATATCTATTTACCTGACAGTCCTATAATTAAATTATTAAAACATTTGACCAGTTGGGCTTGGCCATGGTTAATCCCAATCAATTTAACTTTTGCTCAACTGATTTAACCTGTCTGGCATTAGTATTAAAATATAACAAAGTGTACATGCATTGGAGCATAATCTTAATTGGGGGCGAGGGAGCTGTTGGGGGGAGGGGGTTACCCAAAGGCAGGAATCCAGCCTAAATCTGACTAGAAAGTTTGAAAATTGCATGCTCATGCATGCAGCAAAAAAATCAAAAGTAAATATATTTAACAATTAGTTGCCGAAGGCGAGGTGATTACAAGCCTATATTCATTGAGCGGAAGGCAAAGTGAATATAGGCTTGTAATCAGCGAGCCTGAGGTGACCAATTGTTTTAGTATAATTTCAGTATTAAAATTTTTTTATTTATAAATACAACTAATACATATCACACTATATCATGTACGGTGAATATGATTATTTTTTTTGGAAAAGCGATAGTTATTGCTCTGAGCAGTAAATACTGTATTGCCTCAGAGTTACTGCTGAGGGAACCAATCAGAATGTGCAATTAAATTTTTCAATACTGAAATTATACAAAAATTGTATAGAAAAATAAATATATTGATACCTATTGTGTCACAGCAACCTCAGTAACGCAATACAACCTTCACACTCTTATTAGACTCGTACAATAGTTAATAGTTTGGTTAACCATTACCTGCAATACCTAACACTTTTTCATTGGGGAATAAAATTCACTTGTGTTATAGGCCTATCTACATGTTAATTATTCGATCACATACACCAAGAAAACAATTACAAGTAATTATATGTAGATCGGCTTTTAGACAGAGCATGCAAATTAACAGAGTAGGTGCATTAGGTATTACTGTAATAGGTTAATTGGAATAATTAGATTCAGTTACTTTCCCAGTTACACTGAAATTATCGGATTCTGGGACATTACCAAGAAAGAACACGTTGTAAATATTTGATTGGCTGATCCATGCATTGTCAGCGGTAGAGGTCTGTCAAATATATAGTTCTTTACTCTGCTAATGTATCTCTCCACATGAATCTTCACTGATGCTATTCGTTGGTTGACAATGACTTGTTCTGCAGTAAATTGAGCCTTGTCCTCCAAGAATATTGGAATGTTTAATTCCACACCAATTTGATCAAGAAGATCCCTGATGGTAAAGCCTTTATCTGCCATCACCTCATCATCTTTATTCCAGAACTTTGGGTTGAGAATACCACATCGAGAAACAATTTCACGGTCAGAAACACTGCCTGGAGATAGTTCCGATATAAATGATAATCCACCTGCCAGGGTTATACCGATTAGGGCTTTGTATGTGTTGTGATGCTTGTAGTCTGAGTAATAAACCGATCTTATATGTAATGACTCTGGTGCCTCTACTGCTATTTCTGTGCAATCAATTATTACTCTCGTATTTGGATATCTTTCCTTAAAAACCTCTGGCATCGATTCATTAACTTCTTCTCTTGGGGGCCGTATTGGCAATCAAATTTCAAATAAACATAATTAAGGCAGCTAATTAATAATCTTGTGATTGTGCTACTGTCACAGTTAAAAATATGAATAAAAATATGAGAAAAAACATTTCTAAGTTTCACCAAAAGCAGCAAAAATTGGTCTTCCGCACTCAAGCATCGTGGTCGTCCACTTCCTTTCTTTTCGGCAGACCCTCTCATCCTGACATTCTCTCCATTATCTTCCACAGTCAAAAACGTAAAGCATGTTTTTAATTGGTTCATAATCAGGAAAGCAAGTGTAGTGTTGGCATAGCTCATTATTTTGTTTAATAACGCCCATCCCAAAGTTTTTTCTTGCATGTTCGCCTTAGTTGTGTCTAATTCCCTCTGAACCAGTCTCAACTGTCATTTTGTCTCTTTATTTTCATGCACCATTGCCTTGTAGACTTTATCAACAACAGCCAATGCACTACTCAACAAAGACTTGGGTTGGTATCTTATACTACCAACATCACTCGTAGAACTAACTTTTGGTTTCTTTGTTGTTATTTGTGCTTCATTCCTCATTGTAGGCGGTTTTCTTTTCATATTTAGCACTACGGGTGCTTGTCCAGCCTTTAATGGGATTGCACCGTCCTTTAATCGCCAGCGCTTGCCACCAGGTACTTTCAGAACATCCTCGGGTGAAAAATGTACATTGCACACTTTCGTATTTTGGGTCACAAAAAAAACATATTTTCCCTCTTTCTTTCCCATACGATTGCACCAGGTGCTTCTCAAAGGATTTCCCAATGGCACTTTAAAAAAGTGGGACGGGGTCCGTTGACCATCCTTCGTATATGTACGGTTAACGCAATTGTAGCAGCAGCATTGAAAGCCTCGAGATCGTTGTCCATTTTTGCCCTTCGGCTTCAAATTTTCATTGTTGACGACGTCTGTATAAAAAACAATGAAAATAAACCAACAAATCCATGAGATATTTCATCTGTATCGCACAAACTAAGATTTCCTTTTATATTTAAATTGTTGTAATAAAAATATTGCCATTTTTGTAAAGTAAATTGCGATGTAAAATAGTTTTTAAAACAGATACAGAATGGCGGTGAAATGACCGTGACCTTTGTTGCAAAAAACGTAAATATTTACCCAGGAAATTGGGCAATTTTGCGCCGGAAATTGGGTTTAAATGGACACACGTGTTTCAAAGAAACTAAGGTGGAGAAAAACGGAGATAAACTTTATAAAAAATTATTTTGCAAAAAGTGTTTTGCTTACCTGAGTTTGCTTCGAAGTTTTCCATGATATTTCCACCGGCCCGCGCCGTCAAAATGATTAAAAACACCCCACGAAAACGCGTAAATTGAAGAGAAAACTACCTATGCTAATAACTATGATAATAATTTATTTGACTAAGCTAAGAAAGTATCCGGAAACTTGTTAAAACAAGAGAAAAACGCTGTAAAACTCGGCGACTCACTTTTTGACTTTCGGACAAAGCGAACAATGGATTTGTTTTTGCATAATAAGC